GTTGCGTTTTAACCTGAAATCACACTCAGAAGGAAGCAAAGCTGGTATCAGGTCTTGAGCAGGCATAGCTGAGTGTAAACCATCGGTGACAGAGCTGCATTAGGATTGGTAATCAGAGACTGCTCCAGAGATGGTGATTTAGGGTTAAGCAATCCTCATTTTCTTCAAGTGACCTGCAGGTCCCTGAGGAACGTTGGCAGAAAGTGTCCCAGGGAACAGACACACAGACCAGGTCTTTGGGTAGAAAAATCTCCCACAGCAGGAACAAGGATTCTGGAGGGATGGGGTGACAATGAAGGCTTGGGGTGCTAATTGTTCTATTGCCTTTGTCTGTTGTGGTTTTTTACCAGTTCCTGGCTGCAGTTACAAGCCCAAATTAGCTTATTTAGACCAGGTGCCTGCAGAGAATCTGTAGTGACCTCAGCCAGAGCCTCTGAGAGGATTCCTGCCTAGGTGGACCAGATTAAAAGTACTCCAGGGATGAAAAGGAGGCATTATCCTCCAGCTCCCCCCATCCTTTCAACAGCAAGTTGTTCATCTACACAGTGGAGCAAGGTGATGTGGAGTGGCTGCTTTGCTTAGGAATGGTGGGCAGCTGCCCTCAGCTTCACTGGGCAGGAGAGGAGAGCACTGCTCCAGCTCTACAAACTGGCATGCTGGCCAGAGACCTGGCTCCCCTACCCTGCGGGTGCTCACACAACCCAGCGGCACCTCCACGCTCTTGGGCTCTGTCCCCCTTGTCACATGAGGACAGCCATGGTCAGGCACTTGCCTGCTGGTTTGCCCCTAAGCCAGGCTTTGGTGCCTATGGAGCAAAGCAAGGGAAAGGGCTGGACTTCAGGGCTCAGAGAAGATTTCTGGAGAGCATCTGAGGGAAGGTTTAATCCCGACTAACACTCAAAACAGGAAGGACGAGGCTGGGTGCAGGAGGCGTGCAGAACCTGGCTGCACCAAACCACACTTTGCTAGAGACGAGGTGAAGCTAGCAATAGCAGCCTGGTTTGCAGGCAGGTTCAGGTCAGGGAAGGGAGAGAGCAGAGAATCCAGAGCAGGGTTGGTGGAGGCTTCCTCTGGTCCCATTTGAACAGACGTGCCAGTGGCCGGACCGGCTGCAGAGGGGAAAGCACAGAAAGGAAAGACCATCCGCAGTCACTGCACTTACCAACAAAGCATGAAGTGATCTGATCACTCCCAGGAGCAACTGGCATGAACTACTGAAGGTACGGCATGAGACAGCTTGATTGCCAGAGCTCCAAGACACCATGCTTTCAAGCAGGTTGATGTGATTTGTCCTGCAGCCAAACTGCGGGAGAAATGCTGAATCACAGCTTGAACACTGCTCCTCAGCACCCCTGAGGCTTTAGGGCTGTGGCATACCACGCACTCTCTGCCCTGGCCTTTCTGTCCTGCTCTATCTCTCCTCAATCACAGCCTCAGAGCATGTGGGGCATGTGAGCAGGCTGGGGCAGCGGAGATGCAGATGGACCTGCAGGGATGCTGCGCTGCTCTGATTAGCGCAATCAGGCCATTGCACATGGTTTCCTGGCTGCTGGGTACAGCTGGCCCGAGGGTATAAAACCAGCCCTTGGGCACCAGGAGACTCAGACTTCCACACATCTTGGAAGGAGCGTCTAGCTGTGGGGAGAGATGTGCCAGCCCCAGCTACTGCTGGCCCTGCTACTCCTGGTTTGCTGCCCATGGGCCAATGCCAGTAAGCTGGGCTGCCGTGGGTGAGGCTGCTGGTCTGGGCTCTGACCTCAGCAGCCACCGGCTCATCCTACGGTGGGGTGTCTTGCAGGTGTTCTACAGGGTCGGATTGTGGGGGGCCACGAGGCTCAGCCCCACTCCCATCCTTACATGGCATACCTGAAGCTAGGGGTGTTGGCCTGCGGAGGCTTCCTGGTGGCCCCCAACTGGGTGATGACAGCCGCACACTGCACAGGGTAAGTACTTCATACAGGGGCTTTGTCTCCTTCTTTCTCCCCTAACCTGTGAGGTCCATCACTGGAGTAATTTTGGAATAGGTTCCTCTTCCTCCTGTGCTGAGCAGCTCTCTCCACCTGCCTGCAAAAGGGGAGGGACACGCGTGAGACCCAACCTGTTTTCCCCTTTCTCCCCTCTGCTGCCACCACC